GGGGCTCAGGGGTGAAGCACCCCTGGGCTCCATCCCTGGGACCAAAAGAAAAACGCAGCCACATGGTTGAGCGAGGTCCCGCCCCATCCCCAAGTGAGACCTTTCAGCGCTGGGGGTGGCTCTGCCCGGAGGAAGGGCTGGGATTGCTGGGGCCACCTCAGAGACAGGCTGCACGGAACGGGTGAGATCCGGGTCAGAGACTGCAAAGAAGGTTCTAGAAAAGGTCTGGAGTGGCCGGGGAGGGCGGGAGGAGCCCCTGGGTGCTGGAGAACTCTGGCCCCGATGTGCAGTCTGAATCTGCTCGGGAGGCGAGACCTCGGATGGGGCAGAAGAGGAGCCGGGGGTCCAGGGGGTACTCACGCCGTTGGAGACGTCCCAGCTGAGCATCGCTCTTGCTTTCTGCTCGGCCTCTGGGGTCCCATCCAGCACAAGGCCAAAGCCCCCGTTGATCACCTCTCCCCTGCAAGAGGTTCCGAGGTCACTCCCTGGACCTGGCCGCACAGGGAGCAGGCAGAAATGGCTTCTGGTGTCACAGTAAGGGGAACCCGTGTCACACGGGCCTCTGGAGCATGCAGACCAGGGGACAGAGGGGCCACCAGGCACCAGAGAGGCAGAGTTGGGGGGGGCAGAGTGTCCACATCCTGGCCTCTGAGCTGGACCGGGAGGCCCTGAGGTCATCTCCAGTGACATGCTCACCCCTGAGCCCCCGTGTCCCAGCCCCTTTTTCTATTTTATTTAGAGACAGGGTCTCACTGAGCTGCTCAGGGCCTCGTTCAGTGGCTGAGGCTGGCCTCCAACTTTCCATCCTCCTGTCTCAGCCTCCCGAGCCACTGGAAGATCAAGGATGGCTTGATCCCGCCAAATCAGGCTCAGAGGGCAATTCAGAGGTGGCCCCGGGAGCTGAGCCTGGGCGGCTGCTCTGGGCCCTGAAGCCACAGCGCCCCCTGCTGCTCAGAGCAGGTGCAAATCCCGCCGGGAGGTAGGACTGGCTGACCCCAGGTGTTCCCCCGCCCTGCAAATACGCGCAGGCGCAGTTCATCAACCTCGCAGCGCCTCGAGGCTACGTTCCTCCTACCAGGCGTCTGCCATCCCAGCGGCTCGGGAGGCTGAGGCAGGAGGATGGCAAGTTGGAGGCCAGCCTCAGCCACTTAGGGAGGCCCTAAGCAAGGGATTGAACCCAGAGGCGCTGAACTCCTGAGCCCAGTCCCCAGCCCTATTTTGTATTTTATTTAGAGACAGGGTCTCGCTGAGTTGCTTAGGGGCCTTGCTCAGTGGCTGAGGCTGGCCTCCAACTTGCCATCCTCCTGCCTCAGCCTCCCAAACTGCTGAGATGACAGGCGTGTGCACCACCACGTCTGGCACTCACAACAGACCTTCACGTCCTAGGTGACAGGTGTGACTCAAAGAAGTGGAGTCCCCTGGGCAGGTTTCTCCCTGATAACGCTGTCCCAGCAGCCCCCAGCCCATCCTCCGACCCACTCCTTACCAGCCCACGCCCCCTCCGTTGTGAAGCGCGACCCAGGTAGCTCCACGACAGGCGTCTCCTACGAAATTCTGCACGGCCATGTCTGCAGAAGCAAGGACCGCATGTGTCACTCTGTCCACCAGGCCCCACGTCCCTCTGTCCAGTAGGCCTGAGCGCAGGCCAGGCTCAGGATGCAAGAACAAGGTGACAGCTGGGCCAGTGGGAACCAGGGACCGGTGGCTCCGGGAACAGCCAGGATTTGTGCTTGCAGAATCCCAGCTGAGCAGGAGGCACCAACAAAGGCCCAGAGTCTCCTACGATTCTCCTCCCTAGTCCTGAGCCCCGGAGCCCGCAGCTAGAAGAGAACCAGCTGCAGAACCCAGAGACAAGGAGCCTCACCCCTTCTCTTAAAAGAGGATGA